TAGTCGTTTGGCGTCGGGTCGGGATGGTCCCAACTGACGCGAATCATTTCAGGACCGTCTGCCAGTGCTTTTACATTTCGTGGTGCACCGATGTCTTAGAGAGAAAAATTAAGCTCGTGTCAGTTATGGAAGGCCAATAGAAATGTACCATACATCAGGGACTATATGGTATGTAAATTAATTGCGTGGAGGAGGAGAGGGCCAAGCCTTAGGGAGACAAAAAAGTTAGTTCATGTAAGTTACAGTCTTTCAAAATACATGCTTCTACGTTTTTTTAAATGTTGTCGTTAAATCATATAGAAAATTGACATTCTGGAATGATTACCTGTTTTAATCCTTTTTACTTCCGGGTTGCTCTCTCTCGAGCCTTCTGCAACGACGAAGACAGATACCTCGTAGTCACTGTAAGCACGGAGATACTTAAATGAGGCGTGCGTTTCACGGAGGTTCTCAAATGTCTTGATCACCTGGTCATTTGCTTTCATTGTTGCTCGAAACCAGTGACTATCCGGATTCGTTGACTTTCTGAACATTCCTCTCACCTTTGTCTTGGCGAATTCTACCATACCTGAAAAAAATATAATATCAATTCAATTTCATGCACCACTATATATGGCAAAACGATTCCATAGTTCTTTTTCAAATGCGAAGAGGCTTAATCCAAAAGTATTGAAAGGTCATATGCATTATTCTCTAAAGACACGATAATATGTGCGGATTCAAGTACATTTGTATATGGTTCACCACAGGCCCCTGGTGTCGCTAAAATCTTTTTGAAAACACAACGGAGGCTAGGGAAATACCGTTATTGGTATTTGAGAACTGGTATACATAGATGTGCAGAAACCTTCAAATCTGGAAAATACCTACCAGCATAGGGATCTTTCCATTTCACCTCTATTTGTGTTTCCGTGACTGTTACGATCTGGAGGTCTTTGACAGGCTTTAAATCTGTATACGTAAGATTAAAGAGATACCTGTGAAGATGACGTCACTTTAAACTAGAGGTACTATTACTATGAAGTGTACATTTTCGTGGAAACGGAATCGGTGACGCAACAGTTCTTTATGAGAATTTTTAAAACATGAGCTTAATGTCTACATGTATAACATCTAGGCGGTTTCTTCATGGTTTAACTATGTTGCTAATTATTGGAAAACGTTTATGTACCTATCTTTGGGGGTCCTGGGTTCTCCTCAACATCACCAGCAAACCGTAGTTGATTCACACCTATAGCTGTTACCTGCCTCCAAATATCTCCACCGGATGCATGTGTATCTGTATCTATTCCGGTTTGCCAGACCACGCGGCTCATGCCAAGGTTCCAAGTGAATACACTCGCTGGTTTTGGCGTGCTAACAGTTTCAACTGCACCGCCGTTATTTTGAATGAAGTTTTCGCCATTTCTGACGTGTACAAGGCGAATTATCAATGCAACATAACATAAAGTGATATATAGAGTCACGAGGTACAGTCGCCAAGGATGACCAAGTTTTGCTGGTTTCATCTGCACCATGCGTTCCTTCTCACGGCACGGACGCGGGCCTCTATGACTGAACAGTCCGATACGCATACGATAGGCTTCTAGGCTGACCCCCATACTTGTTCCCAACTGAATGCCGATCTGTTGATGATGGTCTGCCAACAAAAGAAAGGCGTATTTACAAACCTTATACACCAAAGGATCATTCCCTGAAACCTGAACTTCGGTATACACTGTGTTTATTGTGTGTAACCTGCTCACATGGTTGCAAGTTGCATGTAGTTTTCAATGATTCAATCAACATCCAAATAACACCTTTGTCAATTGTGAAACTGGATCCGTTATTCACAATAACATGGCAATGAACCACCAAATTTCTAACGTTTGTAACGTTACCGGGTGGCAAACATGGACTTCGAATTTGGTATTCCTTCTTTTTTTAATCCAAAATTTGCACGCAACGTATACTAGTATTTGCCATGATTGTGGAAACCCTAAAATACGTACAGGCGTCTACTTTTGTGTGGCACTGCAGTGTGGTTTCACTGGCGTATCAGTTACATGTTCAGATTCTTGACGATTTGACTCAAACACACAGATATGTACAAATGGCTTGTATAATTATAAAGACGCCATTGAATTACGAAGTTACTACAACCAAACTATATGCCTGGTGTACAAGGCCTTAAATACATATTAACAGTGTTCAAAGCCTTAATTAAACATATGGCTACTAGTGTACGTCAAACATATGGCAAGTACTAGTGTATGTACAAAACCGTAGACATCAACATGATAAGTTCATTCATTTTGGTTGGTTAATATTATCAATACATAATAGTTTCCCTCCTAGAGAATTGTGATTTTTTTCCATCGACGTTTAGGCAGTCTGCCGGCTACCTTCTTCAAAATTTATTGAAAAACATGAACTTCAAATTGTCACATTGTGACGTAATGACCAGTATGCTACCATAGCGTATACAGTATGGGCTACTCACCCCAGCGATCTTGTGCCGCCGCAGTTCCCACAAGGACTGTCTACTGTTACACTGAGAGACCGTTATTTGTCAGCTCACCTGCTTTCACTTTCGCAGTTCCAGGTAGCTCCTATCCAACTTGGAAGCCCTTGTTTAACAATTACATTACTATTGTATTGTTAAAAGTGAAAGTACAAACAAGTCACGGTTGAGCATGAATTGGGAGTTTTCAAAATGTCAACAAACAAATATGTACTATTGGAACAGATTAGACACGATGCAAGTTCAAAATCAAATCCCCGTTGCGATGTAAACACTTTTGGTCTCCATTGTTGACTTTACAACCTCACAAATCACCCATGGCCACTTGCCGTCTTCCCGAGATCCTTTGCGGGCAGCGGTAGCAGTGGCGCTAAATACGAAGACAATTTTCTCCATAGCAAACAGTGGAGGCTGATATATTCATAAGTATTTATATAAGTACCTTCAACAAGAAGGTTGTTTTCGGTTATATGCCATGTTGACTGGTGTGGGTCGGTATGCATGTCAACAGTATAACCATTTATGTTTGTTTGTATGTAGACAACATAACTCGAGAAGCTTTGGAAGGTTGTGCATGGTATTTATTTATGTTTATGGAATACAGAGATGGTATAATTGTGAATTTGCGGTAGTACATAGCGACTTTCAAAAGCCGGCACATGCTGGCCTTTTGCGGCAATTATGAGTTGCGGCAATTATGAGAGGAGTTCTTGAGTTCGGTGGACCTTTAGCAGCCTGGGTGCCGTCCTCCGTAGTTATCACCGGCTCCCTATTGTCACTAGCTACCATGGACTACGGAGGATGGCACCCAGACCAGAGCCTCCTTGGAGGTGATTTTTTTTGGGAACAGGTGAAAATAAATGCGCGCGGTGTGGCCTGACTTGTATTGTCACAGGCAGACCCTTCCTACCACAAGAACATTGCCCCAATTCAATATTAGAAAAGAAAAGGACGATGCGCTTTATTAGCTTTATGACATGTCATGGAGGTTATATTTTCAGTTGGGTACGTCAGTTGGTCAACACTCAAGTACGGCTTGATGGATTGGCTTGTTATACTTGGTGTGTTAGTAGGGTGTGACGATACAATATGTAACTGGAAATGGTGAGATTTTGCCCCCCCCCCCC